CGCGGCCGACCAGAGCGGCGACGCCAAGCAGTTGCACAACATTACAAGACAGCTCAAGGTGCGCAAGGGCTTCCGCAAGCACGCCAAGACATTGGACGAACGCGGCACTGCGCTCTTCGACCCCGACGAGATCCAGCGCAGATGGGAGCGGCATTGGTCCTCCTTGTTTGCCGGCATTTGCATAACTATGACAGCTTTGTCAGAATCCCCCCCTGCCGGGGATCCGTCACGGCGGCCGCCGCAGCAGTTGGATCGTGACCGAGTGCGGCATAATCTATATCGCATTCACCCGAAGAAAAGCCTCGGCCCAGACGGCATCAGCGCGTCAATTTGGCGAGCCGGTGGAGAGGCCGCGCTGGACATGGTGATCCCATTGTTCGATATTTCGTTCACTGCCGCCCAGGCCCCCATCGCGATGAAGGGAGGGAAGCTCTGGGACATCTGGAAGCAGAAGGGCGACCCTGCGGTGTGCGGCAACAGCCGCTGCATCCTCGTCTCCGACCATCTATCCAAGTGGTACTGCATGTCGATCGCCGAGCCCGTCTTCCGAGCGGCTCCTAACGCCCTGGGCCCGCCGCAGTGTGGTTCCATGCCGGGGAGGGATGCCACGCTTCTCAACACGGCCATCCAAACGTTCATCGAGCGTGCCCTCCACCAGCGGCGGTCTTGGGCACTGCTCTTCCTGGATTTGGCCCAGGCTTTCGACTCTATCATCCGCGAGTACCTCTACGGCGTCGGCCGTGGCAAGCTCTCGGACCTCTCCGCGGACCTGCAGCGAGCTGGCATCCCCGCGCCTGTCGCGAAGGAGGCCCAGACATACCTCGAGACGCACCCGCCTCTACTGGAGCAGGCGGGCATGACGCCAGAGGATGTCCGGCAGATCGCCGACTGGCATACTGGCACCTGGCTCGCCGTCCGTGGGGCGGAGCATGATGTGGTCCTCGCTCGCCGCGGGGCCCGCCAAGGTTGTCGGTTGGGCGCGCTTTGCTTTAATTTGGCCTACGAGCTTGCACTGGGCCGCGCACGACAACGGTTCCGGGAAGCCGGCATCACCCTCGAGCTTCGGACCCCGAAGCACGTTGCTATCCCCTGGGCCACCGCCCTCGACTCCAGGGAGGACCTCCACGAGACCACAAACACCGACGTCGACGGCGATTACGTCGATGACGCCGTTTTCGCCTTCCTCGAGACGGAGCACGGCGGGCCCCAGCAGGTGCTGGACCAGCTCGGCATGGCCACGGACATCCTGGTCCACGAGTTCGCGCGCCTCGGTCTCACAATAAATTTCGGTCCAAGGAAGTCCGCCGCCATGGTCAAGCTTTTCGGCAACGGCTCCAGGAAGCTCCACCAGAGCGCACTCCTGGAGAACGGACGCGAGCAGTTCACCTCCCCGGGCGGCTTCGCCCTGGAGATCGTTCACCACTTCACCCACCTGGGCACGATCCACCAGGACGCTGGAGGCCACCAGGCCGACGGCCGACGCAAGGCGGCGAAGGCGCAGCAGGCCTTCGCGCCGCTGGCCGTCCCCATCTTCGGCTCCAAGGCCATTGCGGAGCCCACCAGGATCAAGCTCGCCAACTCTCTCGTGCTCTCGCGCAGCCTGTTTGCAATGGCGGCATGGCGAGGTCAGCTCGACAGAGGATGGCTCCCGCTGGAGGCCCAGTACCACCGAGTGCTTCGCCGCATTCACGGCCCCATGCGCTTCGGAGCCCCCGGCACGCCGACGGACCTCGAGGTGAGGACCGCGCTGCAGGCCCCACCGCTCGCCTCATTGGTGCGGGCGCAGCGTCTTGCAGGCCTTGGCTCGCAGCTGCAGGCGCCGCCGCTGGTGATGCGCTGCGTTGCCGCCGTGCCCAAGCCCGCGTCTGCCACCCATCTCCTGACGGACCTCAGGCATCTGGCAGCCGCATTTCCGGCGGAAACGCAGGCCCTCGGAGACCCATTTCATTTTCCAGCCGCCTGGCGCGAGTTCATCCTGTCGGAGCCCGCGAGATGGAGGCGGATTGGTCACGCATTACGCGCATGCCCTTGCGAGGCCCCGCAGTCCCAGGCGGCCATGCGCCGGCGGCGAGGGAAGCAACCTGCCCCGCTTGGGCGGGTGACCGCGCCGGTCCCGACTCTGCCATGCCCTGACTGCCAGAAGGAATGCCGCGGCCCCAAAGGCCTGGCCGCTCACAGGAGGCACGCGCACGGCATAAAAATGCAGGCGCGGTTTCACATCCTTGGCACGGAGTGCCCAGCTTGCTCCAAGGATTTCTATACGCGCCCCCGCGCGCTCCACCACCTCCAATTATCCAGCAAGCAGTGCAGAGCCCGGATGATGCAGGGAGACCTTCCTGCCTTCTCGGCTTCCCAGGTCGCCGAAGCCGACAGGGCCGACGCGGCGTCCAACCGCGGCCGCACAGCGAGGGGCGAAATGCGCACTCGCGCTCTCTGCCCGCCGCGCCCCGCAGCAGAGTTGCAGCCCGCGGATGCTTCGTCAAGGGGACCGTCCGCGTAGCGTCACGCAGCGCGGGCAGGGAAAACAGAAAATTTGTTGAGAATTCGTTGACTTCCCGGCCAGGCCGGAGACCATTCCATATTCATTTCAGCGCCCTGCACAGGCGCCTCCAGATCTAGCGCCCCTGGTCGGCGCCCTCAGCTCTTGTCATTTTCCCAGATTGGGAGCCGGAGGTTTTCCACCAACGTGGTGGTTTATCCCATCCGCCTGCGCTTTCTCACCGAGCCAGCGCACCCTGCAGGCCCCGCACTGCGTTGCCAGCAACCTTGCCTACGTGCTCCAGGTTCGCCTTCAGCCGCCTCGAATCGAATCATCAACATCATCAGCAGCGTCATCACCACCACCACCACCATCATCATCATCATCATCATCATCATCATCATCATCATCATCATCATCATCATCATCAGCAGAAGTATTACCATCATCACCACCACACCACCACCATGACCATCAGCATTATCATCATCATCATCATCATCATCATCATCATCATCATCATCACCATCATCATCATCATCATCATCATCATCATCGTCATCATCATCATCATCATCATCATCATCATCATCATCATCATCATCATCATCATCATCGTCATCGTCATCGTCATCATCATCATCATCAGCATCAGCATCAGCATCAGCATCAGCATCAGCATCAGCATCATCATCATCATCATCATCATCATCATCATCATCATCATCATCATCATCATCATCATCATTATCATCGTCATCATCGTCATCATTAGCAGCAGCAGCAGCATCATCATCACCATCACCATCAGAATCTGCATCCAGTCGGCCGCGAGCCAGGCCTGCGGGCCCACCGGGAGGCGCGGCGCCCCGTCCTAACAGGGCTCGGGGGGGGGAAGCCTGGGGCGAACTCGGCAACCCCACCTACCGCGCCTCTCCCTGAGTCTGGTCACATGTCGCGAGACGCGGTTCGTTGAGGCCCGCTGCTGCCTTGCGATCCAACCCAACTCAGTCGAGAGCCGAACAAACGAGATCGTTGGAATTGTTGCTTGCAAGGTTTTCGCCCCGACGACCCTGATGTCAATATTCCTGTCCATCGTGCCCTCGTCGTTGGTGATGAGGCTCTTGCATGGCTACTGCTGGCGTGATGTAGTCGCGTTCGACTATCATGATGTCATGATTGTTGTCGTTTCCATTGAGGCGCGGAACAGACGCCCTGGCCGCGATTTTCGTCTGGGTCGTTGGGCCGCCTCCTCGCTCGTTCCGCTCATTCGACGCGCGCGGCGCTCGATACGAGTTTGGTCCCGATCATCATCAGCATCATCATCACCATCATCATAAAATTCGCCATCCGCATCGCCAGCATCATCATCATCAGCATCATCATCATCATCATCATCATCATCATCATCATCATCATCATCATCATCATCATCATCATCACCATCACCATCAGCATCATCATCATCATCATCATCAGCATAAGCAGCAGCAGCAGCATCATCATAATCATCATCATCATCATCATCATCATCATCATCATCATCATCGTCATCATCATCAGCATCAGCATCAGCATCAGCATCAGCATCAGCATCAGCATCAGCATCAGCATCACCATCACCATCATCATCATCATCATCATCATCATCATCATCATCATCAGTATTACCAGCATCATCATCATCATCACCATACGCATCACCATCGTCATCAACATCACCACCATCACCATCATCATCGCCATAATCAGCATCATCACCATCATGTTGAACATCATCCTCCTTCTGATCCTCATCATCCCTCTTCTTCCTTTTCGTCCTCCTCCTCCTCCTCCTTTTCCTCCTCCTCCTACTCCGCATCCTCCTTTTTTTCCTCCTCCTCCTCCTCTTTCCTCCGCCTCCGCATCTTTCTTCGCCTCCGCCTCCGCCTCTTCCTCCTCCTCCTTTTCCTCCTCCTCCGTTTCCTCCTCCTCCGCCGCCGCCGCGTCCGCGCCCGATTTTGCCTCCTTCGCCCCCTCCGCCTCCTCCGCCTTCTCCGCCCACCTTTCTTCATTAGTTTTCCTCGTACATAATTTTCCCCAATCGCACCCCGAGGCCAGTTTTTTGGGCAGGCCAGGCGTTTCGCCTGAGACTTCCTCGCCACCCATGACGCCGATGCCAACACATGGAAGGCGGGCGGTTTTTAGAATGGGGCTCTCGCCTTAGAGCCGCGCGCACTCGTTTGTGCAATTTGCCAGAGCTTCACGGATTGAGGGCGGCCGTTTTCAAAATGTGGGTCTCGCCTTCGGCCCGCGTGCATGTTTCTGAAAAAAATGCAAGAGCTTCACGGATTGATGGTGTTTCTTTGTCTACTTTTGAAACTTTGCACGAATTCCACGGATTCCCACGATCAGCGTACCAAGAATGGTGTTCAGGAGAGACTCCGGATTATGAAGGCGCAACAGTTACGTTGAGTCGCAGCGTTGGCGTCCCAGGAATGGCCCTCTGGGACGATTCAGGAACGTCAGGACGCAACATTCAAGTTGATCCGCGGCGTTGAAAACTCGAGAACAATATTCTGGCATGCTGCAAGGTCTGCAGAAGGTTGTTTTCCAACGAGGCAGATCCCTCAACGGGGAATCATCCATGTGTGCGAAAGCCTGATAAACCGACCGGCTTGATGACCTCCCCCCTTTCGCGACAAGGGGTGCGTCGCGCATGCGTCGCCCGTGCGTAACACGTGCGTCGGCCGCCGAAACGGTCGGCCGTCCTCGCAAACCTGCACGTCGCCTTCGAGGGGGTCTTTTGGTGAATGCGTCGCCAGATTGGCGGGCACCCGCGACGCGGATCGCACGCGGGTCGCCCGTTTCGCGGCCGCCGAAAAGGCCAGTCGCCTTCGGGGAAAAACAAGTCGCCCTCGCAACGGCCCCCTTGGTGAGAAGGTGACTGCTGGGCGACGTCGGCAGATTAGCAAGCCCCCCGAACATTGCAATGCAGCGATGCTGCTGAACGCACTCCGACGCTAGGCTGGCAGGTCCCGCAGCCGTCACCACGGCCACCGCGACCGCCGCCGGCACCATGACTACCACCGCCACGACCATCACCAACGGCTGCGACCGCAACCGCATCCACCGCGACGATTACGACCACCGCCAGCAACCGCGACCACCACTACGACGACCACGATTCTCGCGACCACCACAATGACCGACACCAGCACGATCACCAACGTGACCACCACCAGCCCGCCCAACACCAGCAGCACGAGCACCGCCGGCAGGACCAAGGCGACAACCACGACCACGACCACGATCACCAACATGACCATTGCGATGGCACCCACCCACCCCGCCCTTGCCCCCCCCCTTTCCCCTGCCTCGCCGCCCTTGCTGCTGCCTCGCGCCCCTGCCCCCCCTCCTCCTCCTCTCCATGACCCTCCTCCTCCATCAGCGGCAGGGCTCTTCGCTGAAGGCGGGGGCCCCGTTCGCGGCCCCGCGCCGCGGCCGCGGGGCGGGGGCGCCTGGGGTGGGGGAGCGGAGGGGGGCAGGGGGTGGCGAGGGGGAAAAAAATAACGAGAGGGGAAGGAGGGAGAGGCAAAGGGAGGCGGAAAAGGAGGATGAGGAGGGGACGAGGGGGGGAAACGAGGCAGGAGGGAGGACGAAGAAGAGGGAATGACGAAGGAGGAGGGAGGACGAGGAGGAAAAGAAGGAATAAGGACGAGGCGCTGCTTTTCTTGGCACCATTCAGGACGCAGCCGCCGCCACTTGTGAACAGCGCAAGCACGGCGCGCCGACGGCCGTTGCGCATTGCAGTTCGGAACAACTAGAGCGCGCAAGCGTCGCGCACGTGGCGCGTGCGTCGCGCGTGCGTCGCGCGTGCGTCGCGCGGGTCGCTCGTGCGTCGCGCGCCAACAGGGGTGCGTCGCGGGCGGGTCGGGGCGCGTCGCGCGCGCGCGTCGCGCGCGCGCGTCGCGCGCGCGTCGTGCGCGCGTCGCGCATGCGCCGTTCGGGTCGCTCGCACGTCGACAGCAGGTCGCGCGCGAATCGCTCGAAGAACACCGTAGACCTTCGACGGCATGTCAACTGCGCGGCCTGCCGGCGAAACAGCTCAGGAATGTGCGCGACAATTACAGGCATAACGAAACACGCACGCGACAATAACGAGCACGAAAAAAAACACAGCTGACGACACGGAGTTGCACCGCGCGCGGAGGAATGGACTGGCGGCGGGAGCGATGGGAGGCAATCGAAGGGAGGCGGCGGGAGCGAGGAGGGCAAGGGGGAAGTTTCAGGAGGGTGGAGAGACAAGGGGGGGGGAGCATGGAGGGGGAGAGGACGGCAGCCTGACAACAAAAAAGCTACGCATGATTTTGCGCGCGGGGCCAGACGCGCAGCGCGTTCAACGCGGGATGGAGGGCGAAAGAGACGGAGGGGCAGGAGGACTGGCGCGAGCCGACATCGGAATGCGGGGCGCGGCGCGGCGGGTCGAAGTGGCGCCGCGTCGCGCGACGCGACGCGGCCCCCTCCATGGCGCGACGCGCGAGCCCCAATCAACGCGAGGCATCTTCGTCCTCAGTCACGGCTGCGCCCCCGACACATCGCACTGGTGAGCGATTTTGCGCCGAGCGGGAAACGTCTTGGTGATCCGTCGAACTACGATGCGCCGCGAACTCCAGGCTGGCCGCCGTTGCACTTGCGTCGGAAACCATATGTCCGTCGCCAGCGAAATCCCGACGTCGCGCCAAATGTCGCCTGCGCACTCTGGCAGGCCGGGATTCGGGGCAAAGACGCAAACCAGGGCCGGCGCATGGGCGACGCACGGGCGACGAACTGAACGAACTCAAGGGGGCGGGTCGGCCCACTGGGCCTCGACATCAATGTGTTTCAAAGAAAATGTAAAAACAGCCCCGCGCGCTGGAGCGGACTGCCCCCGCCTCGCCGCCGACGAGGTAATAATGTGCATAGACAGCGCCAGAATAATCTGAAGGTTCAAAATTAAATAGAGGCGCGACCCGCGCGAGCGCCGCGCGGGAATGGGGCGA